GCGTTTTATATGCCATTCTTCTATTTTTTTTAGAGGACATTTGTAAAAATTTATTTTTAATTAATATTTTTAAAAATTAACTATTAGATTGAATATTTTACTCATATAAATCATGTATACTAATTTTTAAATTATTTTAATAGGTCTAATCATTTTATTAAGGGTTTGTTTGGTACAATACTTAAAATTCAGTGAATAATGGGTAATGGATGACAGATAGTGGATAGCAGTAGCAAGTAGTGGATGGCGGTTAGCAGATAGCGGGTGGTGGATATTGGGTGGTGGATAGCGGATAGTGAAGAGTGGATAGTGGATAGTGGATAGTGGAAAGTGGAAAATGAGTAGGAGGTAGTAGAAAGTGGGTAGTGGATAATGGATAGTCGATAGTAGATAGTGGATTTGATAAATATAACTATTTGGTTATATAATAATTAGTGGTTATTGTTTAATATTAAATGATTAATAAAGATATGTTAAAAAACAGTTAAGTGTATTTTTTAAATATTTTTTTATTAAAATTATTAATTTTATAAAAATAATAATAAGAAAATAAATAAATAAAATTAATTATAATAATGTAGTTACACCCTTATTTTTATTTTGAACAAAGAAAAAATTATATTATTTTTAAATAAAAAATTAATATGTATAAAAATAAAAATATTATAATCACTTAATGTTATTAAAGATAAAAAACAAAATTGAAACTTATTAGATAAAGATCAATTAAAAAATATGACCAAAAATAAAAAAAAATTAAAATGGATAAATTTGTCAATAAAATTAAAAAATTTTAATTCTTTAAGGGTTTGATACTAAAAGTTACATAAGATAGTTTTTTTAATTTATTAGCAATTTGGACCTTAACTGCCATCCACTAGTCCCAAATGCTTAAATAAAAATTTTACCAAACATCTTATTTGTAATGGTTTCAAAAAATATAATTTTACCCAACACCTATACTTAGGGGTTTAGATAAAACCACTAACCACTGTTCTAAAATCATTATACCAAATGACCCCTAATTATAAAAGGTTTAATACTATTAAATATATATTAGTAAATAGAATTTTTTTTATTAAAGAGTTATAAGTGTTAGAATTATATGAAAAATGACATATATAATCTACATAAATAAAATTTTGAATCTAACAATCGGGTTTTTTAAAAATATTAATTAAAAAATAAATGTTTAGATAAATCCTTTGAAAAAAAACTTTAGGAAAACTACCTATCTTACACTATTTTCATAAAATAGAACCATTCAAAATCTCCAGCTTTCGTTTTTGCCTATTCTTCCAAAAAAAGGAAGAAAGTCTAGCTTTCTTGGA